TTATTAACTATGTTAGCTATTAATATTATTAACGACTTAATTAACTACTATCTAGCTACCTAGCTAGTTTTTAATTAGCTAGCTACCCCTTAATTATCTAAATACGAAAAATCTCTAATGTACCTTCCTACCGTATACCTAGAATATTAACCTTAATATATGAATGTAAAATGCGTTTTAGCCGTAACTCACCTATAGGCTTCCGTAAGCTGTGGCCAAGAGCTTTCATGCCGTCTCGGCCCGGGACTTGCATGTGCACATGCACCATGAAAGTAGTCTGTCTATGACGGCGGAGAAAAAGCTCCCGCGACACAAGAGAGCATAAAGCCAAGACAACTCCAGCAAGGGCAACGTCCGCATGCTACAATTTACACGCATCGGGATCGTCTATCTTGACACATCGCAGATAGTTATGGCTTCCATCGCATTCCCAGAGCTCGCCAAGACCGCCGACTTATCCGACGGCACCACGTACGGCTATGTTGCTGTGCCTCCATCGGACGCTAGCAAGCCAACGTTCCTGTTTCTTCATGGGTACCCCAGCTCGTCTTACGATTGGCGTCATCAGATCAAATCTTTGCCCGCTAGCGGGTTCGGCGTCATCGTTCCCGACCTGCTCGGCTTCGGAGATACAGACGCGCCCGAAGACGTAGCGGCGTACCGGATGAAGACCATGGCCCATCACATGGAAGAACTTTTGAGCCTTGAAGAGGTCTCCCGATGCATTGCAGTGGGGCATGACTGGTAAGTGCAGGGAAAAGCAAGGCGTGTTCATCAAATGAGTGGATGCTAACGCCTTTCGCCACAGGGGCTCAGGCCTACTTTCTCGGCTAATTACGTACATGCCTGAGAAACTCTCTGGCGCTATTTTTATCTCTGTCGGCTACCTTGAGCCTGGGCTAGTTTGGGACATCGGTAAGTCGCACAACTTCACGTAGGACCTGCGCTTTCGCTGACAAAGGCTGTGTGACCGCCTTCTCTGCAGAGGCCTTTATCAAGGTCAGCCGTGAAACATTTGGTTATGAGACGTACGGCTATTGGCTCTGGCACAACACGGACCAGGCGGCCAAGGACTGTAACGACCATGTAAGTGAGGGAGAGTGTGGACCCGATTTTACCCACTGGTTTGTCCTGTGTAGGTAAACGATGCAGACGACTGACCTTTACATGCAGCCTGCTTCTGTGTTTAGTCTTCTATACCCAGCGGACCCGGATGACTGGAAAAAGTATTTCGCTCCCGTTGAAAAGGCCGCGGCATTCGTGCGAGCTGGGCGGCTCGGGCCTCTGCCTACCTGGTTTGATCTAACCGAGTACACGATCCGAGATCGAATTCTTGCCAAGAAGGGCTACCAAGGCCCGCTTAACTGGTACAAGGCCGCCATGAGGGGTGTCAATATCCCAGACGAGTCCGTACTGCCTGACGAGGCTCGCTACTGTGGAGTGCCTACGCTCTTTGTCGCGGCCAGCCAGGACTTTGTGACCCGAGCCGACGCCCAGGGTGCAAACACCCGCAAATGGGCCCGTGACCTTCGCGTCAAGGAACTAGATTGCGGCCACTGGGTCCAGCTGGAGAAACCTGAGGAGCTGCACAGCAGCCTGGTTGAGTTTGCCCAACAGATAGCGGCTTAAGGCGACATGATGACGAGCTGCCCAACGCCAGTCACAACCTGCAAATGGCACATCTCTGCATTAGAACTGGTCCATGATATAATCCATTGCATGACTGCATCGTGATTTGCAATAAATAACAGACATGACCATTTGGAAACGAGCTCGTAAACGAGCCTCGCCTGCTGCCGTTTCATCACCCGCGGAATAGCCAACGTATCTCGGCGATTTAGGTCTCCGGTCTCACTCTTCGGAGACTTCTCTGCTCGTCTCCATTAGCTGTTGGAGCTTCTGGATCCGGTTCCGTGTACTAAAACCGTGGCACGTCTCAAGATCTTCGAGCAGATTCCATAGCTTAACTTTCCTGGCAATACCGTTTATATGCTTCGCGGCTAAGAAAAATTATATTAGCTCGATTTGCGTAGGATAATTTGTCCAAACTGTAAATTGTGACACGGATAGTGGACTCGATTGTTGAGATGTACCAAAGAATACTGCTTGAGCAGAGAAACTGCGCACGCACGCCGGAATATCCGACAGTCCGATGCTGCCGATTTCAAGGGCATGATACTCTATCTGTGACTTGTTAGAAAGCGCATTTGGGGTGTTATCTAGTCATACTTTTGAAACATGAACTAGATTTTGCGGAGTTGGTTCCGCAAACAACACAAGGTGTAAAAGATGATACCACATCATTGCCGCGGCTTTGGTCTTCAGTTAGTAGATGTAAGTGAGGCCAGTATGTGACGTTAAAGTCTCGTTCGTATTGCACTAACCTGCAGTAGGGACGGCGAAGTATAACTTTACAAACCCATGATCGTCTGGGTCGCTGTATTTTACACCACGGAAACATGGCGGAAGGGCCTCAAACCATTTGTCCGCATCGCGCAATACCTCTCGCCGGCCTTCGATAGCATTTAAGCTTGGTCGATAGGCAAGGTTGATGGCTCTGCCTAGCAGCCACAGAAGCTGGTTGCCCAGCGCGGCTTCATCGCCTCCCGGCTGTTGCCAGCTCGCATTCCACTCCTCCGGCCCAATCTGCAGCGGGGTTTCATTAACCAACGCGACGGTGATTTCGTGTCTAATATATATCCAAAAGTTTGCACGATCCATCGCGTCCGAGGTCGCCGTAATCCGACGGTTCGATATCAGGAGCATAGCACCGTAGAAATGTCGCCGGTGCTCAACGCCGTGATTGGCAATCATCTCGTAGCTACAAAGAAGCATCGTTGAAGTCAGCGTATCTTCGTGGGCGCCGCCTCCTCCAACGTATCCAATCAGAAGGCGCAGCGATGCGCTGTAATATTGGGCAGCAGAAGGCGCCCAGACACCTCCAGACGGCAAAAGACTCAGGTTCTTGGCTGTAAATGCGCAGACGCTCCAAACGAGCAGCTGTGAGCCCATACAGCGACGTAAGACTTCACGCTGATAAGTGTATTCGTGATCAAAAATGTCCATCCATGTCGCGACACCCGTTCTGTAGGCGTTCAGTAAGTACGCCATCTCGGCCGTCAGCGTGAACTGGCCACTGTTAGAGTATGACGTAGTGGAATAGGACGATGCGAATCCCGTTTGACCTTCATCAAGGGCTGGCACAGGCGAGTAAGTTTCGAATAGATTCCATGTTGATGTCGGCGTAATGGGAGAAGTGTGCTCGCGAAAGCTGGAGGCCGAATTGGACTGCAATAGATGAGAGGTGCCCGACGGAGCGCTTTCGGCGGCGGTCTCTGCTGTCTCCCCGGGTGCGCTCCATGACGAAAGGATGATGAACTCACGGGGACGGCATTCCAGATTCAATCGCTGGCAGTTTCCGCACAATGGCCTCGCTTCATCGCAGCGCGCGTGGCGTGCCTTGCAAGTATAACTAGTTTGGTTAAAAGGTTAGATATTGGGCTAAAGGGAGAGTATCGCAAGCCAAGGGGGGCAGCGGACGCCGCGAAAAGCAGCCGAGGATGGAGGGCACGAAGGACAAAGGACAGAGGGCAGTTGACGGGGCCGTACTCACCAGCCTGTCAATTTTTAATCCACCTACAGTTAGTGAGTTGTTCCGAAGCGATACGGACACCGCCGCATCTCGGCTGTAACAATTGAATGATACCCTTTTTACGCACCGGTCTTCTTTCGCGTGCCGCCGCGGCGCCTGCGCTTCTCAGTCCCAGCGGCAGCAGCCTCGTCAGCGGCAGGCCAAGTCTTGCCCATGTTTCAGAATGACGGCTACTCTCCTGTTGCCAAGTCAAGACTATGATTGCATCGCCAGTCAGGCTGTGCATGTGAGAGGTTGCATCTTCGCAGGGGCATTGTTTTGGGTGGAGTGTGTGGGGGAGCCGCAGTAGCATCCCACATCCCCCCCATTGGGTACTCGTTTTAGTGGCTTCTACTTGCTCTACCAACCGTGAACTCGGCTCCCAAAACACCAGCGACAATATACGCCATCTACGAGAAGATTTTGAGCGAACGAGAAGAACGCTACACGCGCCACATACCCACTCTCCCGTGGACTGTTTTATAGCATGGTGCTGCTGATGCTAGGAATTCTGCTGCCGCAGATTTCTAACCCTTGCGCGGCGGATCATGCCTGCTTTGTGCACTGTCTCTTGATACAATGGGCATAATGGCAAACAAAAGAGCCAAGTGTGTGTAATGAGGAGGACTTGCTGTACTCCTAGTAGAGTGCTGGACAGCCATATTATACTTGCTGGAGTTATTATGCTTCCTCAAATGTTCTCGGCCATCTCGGCCATGTTGCAATCGAAGATTGCATCTCGCATGATGCACGACCCTCAATGGAGCTCGCACATGTGTATTTTCTTGGTGAAGTTTTATTTTATCACTATGAATGTATTGAAACAGTGTACTATAAGGGTAAACTGAAGCTGAGATGCATAAGTGTGTTCGAAGAGGGCAGTAAGCATCAAGCATCGATTTGTTGAAGCATACTTCAGACTCCCAAAATATTTTTGCCTAAAACGGCATAGCTAATAGGATATTAATGTATCTGAAGAATGTATAGTGTAACAACTCAATATTTGGTCTATACAAACACGCTCCAATTGCCCCGCGAATCGACGTCGTAAAACGGGAGTCCCGCTGATGGGACTGATGGGAAGCAAGCTCCCGGCATCTCTTCACTGCTCTGCACCAAGAGCGTGCTTTCTGCGGAAATTTCTCCTAGAATCGCTTACAGATTGCTTTAGTTCCGTAGCCCAATTGGTATGGAAAGACTCTTGTATCTCGGCCAGTGTACGCCCTTTTGTCTCGGGCATGAAGACCCAACACACCAGAGCCGTCGCCATTGTGCAGCTTCCGAAAAGAAAGTAGGCGCCGTAAGAGGTATTCGCCAGCAGCGTTGGTGTGACAAGCGCAACGAGAAAGTTTGTGAGCCAATTACTGCCGTGAGCGATGTTGGTTGCGCTTGCTCTGGTTAGCTGAGGCTGGATCTCAGCGGCATAAATCTTCATTCCAATCGCCCATGAAATGCAATATATGACGATGAAGAAGTAAATGGCAATAACCACAACCCAGCGACCGGCACCTTGCACATGCACGTTATCTCCAGCATACATTCCTCCAATGAGGAACATGATGACAGCCATGCCGAGGCCTCCGAAGATCGTGTTACGGCGTCGACCCCAGCTATCGGCCCAAATAGTAGCTGGGATCGTGACGGCAAAAATGACGATAGCAGAGATGCCAGAGGCAAGGAAAGTGTCGCTGGCTGACGCAATACCAGCCTGTTGGAAAAGCAGAGGAGCATACTACCAACGATCAGTCGGGTTCAGTATCAAATGGGGACAGCGGAGAAACATACGTAAAGAACACCATCAATACCGCTAAGCTGCTGCATCCCCATGAGAAACACCGCGAGTATGAGTCCCGGCCGGGCTGCAGGGGAGAACACGTCAAGCATCTGTGGAAATGAGGGTCAAATTTCTTTTCTGCTCGAGCTAAGACGTTGAAGCTGGTACGACATACCCGTGATGATACCTTCGTTTCTTGCTCTACGGAATCCTCTCCTGGTATCGTGTCCTGGTCGGCACTACGGACACCAAGCGCATCCCACGCTGCAGTGACTTCTCTTCGCGACTTGCCATGTAGCGCTAGCCACCTTGGCGATGCAGGCAGCATCAAAGCAACAGCTGTGAAAATCACAGAATATGCGGCGAGAAGAATGAAGGGCAAGCGCCATGATAGCGCCGAAGTGATATTAGCGGATCCATAGCAGGTAAAGAAGCCAGCCATGAGACCGCATGTAATTAGCAGCTGAGGCCCTGTCGTGAGTGTTCCGCGGTGCTTTGCGGGTGAAATTTCGCAAATGTATCTAACGAAACGGGCAATCAGCACAAAAAAACAAGCCCGAACGCAAGTACTGCTGCAACCTACACTACCAAAGTTCCCATGTAAATGCCCTCGCCAAGACCAGAGACAACACGACCGGCGATGAACATGCCAACATGTACAGCGGTGGCCTCAATAATTGCGCCGACGGCGAAGATAAAGGCTCCGATTGCAATCGCCTTCGGCCGGCCGAGCGCGTCCGCGATGCGTCCAGCGGCGAAAGAGGTAATCGCGGCAGGAATAAGAATCGAGGAGACAATGAGGCCGTGAATCGTTGGGCTTGATTGACCAAAGGGTTTGGTGAATTCGGGCATTACCGTCACAGGACCGATGATGCCCGTATCGACACCAAATAAGAAGCCGCCCAGCGAGCACAAGATGCTGGCGTAGACATAGCGAGGGGGGCGATGGAGTAAACTGGAAAGCTTGACAGTCATGTTTGGCGTGCAGGTTCGCCGTCTGCCCTGCCTGGGGATCGAATTTAAGGAAGAATAGATCGGCGATGATATGTTGCAGCTGAGTTGGCTTGTCGGCCGCAAGCTAGGAGGTAGAATGTACAGAGACGGAAGGACAGGGAGAGAGAGATATGAGAGGCTCGCAAAGGATGGGAAGGAATACAAACGTAGTGCCAGTGTTTATAAGGAAGCTTCCAGACAGTATACAGACTATGACGGCATGAATGCCTCTGGTAGGATGTACTGGTACCTTCACGGTTGCACGAAAGCCCAGCTGATGGAGAAGCAAGTTCGTGAAATAGAGGGACAAGCTGCCAGTACTTCTTCTTGAGATTAGTCGGGCCGGGCTGGCCATGATGGCCAATTCCTCGGCCCACAGAGGCTAAAACGAAGAGTAGAATGGATTCGGCTGCGCCCGCATGCGGGCCGAGGAGCCGAAAAGGGCATACTATACGCGTGTATTTGGATTGCGTGAGCGCCGAGCCCCCGACTCGTGACTAATTAGGTACCTGATCCGCTGCCGCGTAAAATGCGCCGTTTTTGGAAATCGTGGCTTGCTCCCCTGCTGGCATTAATCAGCACAGCCTTGTCCGCTATCAAGTTCGACTTGGCTTTGAGCTTGGCACAGTTTGCGGACAGTGCTCTCAGCAGATTGCCTGGTACTTGGAGGCTGTTTCCAAACATATATGTAATGCTCGCGGCACAGCGCTTTGTTTGGGACCAGTATTCTGCCTCGTGTTGGCTGATGTAAGTTCAGAGCTTTCTTACAATATTTCTGTGTATTCGATGAACGCTCCAGTACGGTAATCACTATGCGGTAATACTCTGCGCTATATTCTCATCTAGATCGGATCCATTGGCTATAGTAATATGCATGGGTAGCTAGGAGCTTGGCAGCTGGCGCGTTCTAACGTGAACTCGAAACCCGAGCGGGTGCTCGTCGGTCCAGTGCGATTGCCGTCGTAAGATTATCTCGTTTTGGAAATGGCCTACTACTACTCGTACGTTAACTGCCGGATTCTCCATACCCTTGTTTGCAAACGTCGGTGAGGCTGTAATGACGGAAGACCGATCGCGTAAGAAGCGCAACCCGTTCATTCTCGGCCCGGTGCTCGGAAACTTGTAATTTTTTGAATATAAATGCCTCCATCTCATCTCGCTACCAAAGGTTAAGAGCATTAACTCTAAGATCTACAAACTACCTCGGATCGCTCAGTCTCCAGCCTAACAAAAGATCATTATCCAGGTCACAGTGCATACCAATAACTACAACACTGCGCGAACGGGCGTCTCACATTCCGATAAAACTACTACAAGACTGTTAGGCATTTGCGGCTTTAAGTTACCCCTTGCTCAGCCAAGATGTTTATGCTCTGGATAGCGGCTGCGGTGTTTGGACTCATAATCATCGGACGGCCACTAATTGTGTATCTGCAAGACGTCAAAGGATTTCGAAAATATCCGGTCCAAAATTTCCTCTCTGGTATATCCCCTCTTGCCTATTGCTGGGAGGTCGGACGATCCCATCGAGTATTTCACACACGTCGACTACATGAGCAGCTAGTTGATAACCCCGTTGTACGCATCGGCCCCAACTGGCTATCATTTGGTCGCGCTCGGGCTGCGCGAGACATCTACGGCTACGCATCACCGTGCCTCAAGAGCCGTATCTACGACTCATTACAGGGTGGCGGCGAGCATCTTGTCAACATCACCAGCCGCGCTTTGCACAGTTCGCGCCGGAAGATGGTGGCCACTGCGTACGCTCCCCGCAACATTGAAAGGTGGGAGCCCAAGGTCACTGAAACCACCACGGTTCTCTTATCCAAGCTTGACCGTCAATGTACACAGGCTCCGAAGTCTTCCATTGGACCCATCCCAGGCAATGAGCTCACCTTTGACGGCAACCTCTGGGGGATGTTGTATTGCTTCGAGTGCGTCATCAAGATCGGTTTAAGCAAGGATGTAGGTTTCATTGCTCAAGGCTCGGACATGGTCGAAGTGCGGCGTAAGGACGGCACTACTGTACATGTGAACGCCATCGACTGTTTGCACAGCGGCTCCAGAGCAACTTCAACACTGATCTGGGATACCCGAAACTTTGGCCTATGGAAGCGCATATCGCAAAACATCTCCTCGCGGTATGCCAAACAATGGGATAATGCCTCCCAATGGCGCGCCTTTATCGAGAATATGACAGAAGAGCGTCTAGAACGTTTTGCGGCTGGCGAATACCTTGATGATCTTATCCAGCTGATGATCGTCGACAGAATGGGAACAGACGCAGACATCACGATGCAAGATCGGGTCGCTGAAGTCGACCAGATGGGTATGTATTCAGTACTTTCCAGTACCGCTTTTAACATTTATGATAGCTAACCAGTCTTCATGACATAGTCAACGGCGGCGGCGACGGACCAGGTATCTCCTTGGTCAACACCTTGTACTATCTTACCAAGAACCCGGAAACCTTGGCTAAGCTACGCGCCGAACTCGACGAAGCATTGGAATCGCATGATGGCGTAGTACCTTGGTATAAAGTCAAGAACCTGCCATATCTCCGCGCCTGTGTTGATGAGTCGATGCGCCTTTCCCCGCCTGTTGCGACGGACCTCCTGAGGAAGACACCCCCTGATCGCTCGCACACGATTGACGAAGTAGTGGTTCCGCCCAGCACCAACGTGAGCATATCGGCTTACACAGCACATCGCGACCCCAGTGTTTTTCCGGATCCTGAGGCCTTCAAGCCAGAGAGGTGGCTCATTAAAGGTCAAGGTGCTCTCAAGCAAATGCTTGACGCGTACATCCCGTTTAGTGCAGGACCGCGGGGCTGCATTGGACGCAGTGTGACAATTTTGATGCAACTTGTGTATATCGGCACGCTTGTCTACCGGTATGAGTTTGCCCTACCGAGCCCTGATTGGGAAATGGAATGGATTGATTATTTTAATCTCTGGCCTAAAGAGTTGCCGCTGAAAATTTGGAAGAGAAAGAAGGGCATGATCGCTTAACTAAGCTCATAGTCTATATAAGTGTCTGTCCTATGCAACAACTGTAGCAGGCGCAATCTTGATGTGGGCACTCTTAGCCACGACATCAACCGCCAACGCTGCCAACGAAACACTCTGCAGGATACTAAAGATGGATATATCGGTAGCTGCCTGTAAAACCAGCATATTTCGCAGCTCGACAGCCACAAGCGAGTCAATTCCATACACTGACGGCGGCTTCTCGAGGTCAATGTCGTCGACGGGGATCATGAAAATGTCCGCCAGTTTGGCGGCAATGGCACCGCCGACAAAGCCAGCCGCCTCGTCTGTTGACTCAGCCGACTGTAGCTTGATCGACAGCGGCTCGGAATCTGCGTCGTCGCCCGACGTGTGCGCTTTGGAGCGAGAGACCAGCCTCTGACGATTCCTTAGGGGCATGAAGCGCGCATCGCGGCCCATCTGGGAGTCGCTGTTGGGATCCCCGTGGGCGCCGGGTCCAGAGTTAAGACCCAGCAGGATCTGGGGACGGCCAAACGGGTGGATGACGGCAGTGCCTACGGTCCGCAGCACCGCGTCCTCGTCCAGCCTCACCGACTGGCCGACCTTGCGCAGGCGATCCGACACGTTGCGGGATTCAGCGACGTAGCCAACGTCTTTGATTATGCCCATATCGAGGAACAGAGCGGGCAGCCCAGACGCGCAGCGCCAGCGTGCCAAGGCGTCCTGGTAGGTGCCACCTGCGGCGTAGCTGGCCTGACTAGCCCAACCCAGGATGCACGAGAGTGAGGACAGCATGATGAAGAAATCAAGAGATCCGCGCTGGGAGAAGCGTGAGTGGAGATTCCAAGTTGCATCTACCTTGGGACGGATGGCAGCAACACAGCAGCCGACTGCGCGTAACTGAGCAACAAAAGAGCTGCTGTCCTGCTTGCCTGCGCTCCTAGACGGCAGGATAAGGTTCTTGGCGCCGTTGTCAACCATCCAGCTGGCAAGAGATCGACCAAGAACGCCAACACCACCAATAAGGAGATAGGTTGCGTCAGAGTTGAATTTGGCTGCGACCGGACGAGGCAGCACCTTGACCAGCGCATCAGGCTCCGTAGACAAGACCAATTTACCAATGTGCCTGCCGGTTTGCAAGAGTCGGAAAGCTTTATCTGCCTGGGACATGGGGTAAACATTGATGGATTGAACAGGCCGAATAATCTTCTGTTCTGCGAGGCGTCCGAGCTCGGTAAGAACACGGTGCGTATCGCAACCACGCTGTCGCAGCCAGGCCATTATATCCAGGGATGTAAAGGAAACCGCGCGTGTAAATGTTCCCATCTCTAATAGGCTGTTCTGCTCCAAGTCGCGCTTGCCAATCTCGACAAAGTGGCCAAATGGCGCGAGCACGTCGAAGCTGGCTTGCAAGAGAGAGCCACCCAGTGAATTCAGCACAGCATCAACGCCCCGTCCACCCGTGGCCTGCAGGAGCGCAGGCGCAAAATAGGCGTCGCGGCTGTTGAATATGCGCTCTGGTGGGATGCCGTATTCGCGCGTCAGCAGATCACGCTTCTCTTGGGAGCCGGCCGTGGCGTATACTTCAGCACCCAGGTAGTCCTTGGCCAGCATGACTGCCGCCTGTCCGACACCGCCGGCTGCGGCGTGGATGAGCACCGACCGGCCCTGGCAGAGTCTTGCTACCTCGACAAGACCGACATACGCGGTTTAAAAAAAACCATAGGCAGCGAGGCGGCATCATTAAAGCCCATGCCTGCTGGCATGCTGGTGACACCATGCCACACAACGCGGGCTCGACTGGCAAAAGGGCCGAGCAAAAGAGCCATGACATGATCACCGACAGCAAAGCCCTGGGAAACCGCCTTCTTCCCAACAGCAGTAATGTTGCCTGCTCACTCCAGCCCCATGACACGCTCGCGGAGCTGGCCCATGGCGACCATGACATCGCGAAAATTGAGGCCATATGCACGAGGCTCAATCTCTACCATGTCGGTCGCCAAGGCAGACTTAGCAGTGTCATCGTCGCCAAATGCAAGGGTATCCAATAAACCAGGGATTCCGACTTTGAGGCGAAGAGGTCTTTTAGGCTGAAAGAGAGGTGCTTCAGGAATAAACTGCGGCGCTGACCAGTCTGATAGCTCAGGCTCCAACAGCGCGTTCCATGCAACATCTTTGTACAGCATGGGAACCATGATGAGACCGCCACGAAGAGCGAACTCGTTGTCAACTGGGACCGAAAAGTCCGAGACACTGAGACAGGACTTGAGGATGTGCGCAATTGCTGCATTATCGGACGCGGTGTTGTCCCCTGACCCGAGTGAGAACTCCATATCAAGCGTCAGAAGTCGACGACCAGCATACTCAGTGCGAAGAACGCGAACAAGACCAGCGGCTAAAGCTGAGTTTGGATCTGCACACTCTACGGCTCCGCCGCGGGTGACCCAGAGAAGTCCCTTGCAGTCACGAGCCATAGTTTTGATCCCCTCGAATGCGGAATTGTCAACGGAATGGAGGATAGGCGTGTCTGTCTCGCCAACAAAGATGCAGAGCTTGGTACTGTACGATGCGCGTGAAGATTCGAGGGAAACAGCCTCAGGAAGAGCTGTTACGCCCGCGACTTCGGCGACGGACTGTCGAAGGGCCTTAAGCCAGTCAGCACGTGGGAGTGCCTTGTCGCTAGTAGTTACAATGAGGACATTTGACGATTCAAGTGTAGGAGCGGGGCCGGCGGCTGTGGAAAAAATATTACTTATACCATAAAGGTCGCTGTCGGCGCTGGCGTCAACATCACGAAGGTCGACCTCGACACCCGTGAAGCCAGTGTCCAAGAGCACCCTGTCCCACATGCCGATAGACAGCGATGGACTGCTGTGGCGCTCTGGCTCTTCGCTCAGCCACCAGCCAGGCAGCAGTCCAAAGATGAATTGCAGGTCTATCTGGTCCTGGGTCGTCTCCATGAGCACCAACTTGGCACCAGGCTTCATCAGGCTGCGGACGTTGCTCATTGTCTTGTTCATGCTCTTCGTCGCATGCAGGACCTGGCACGCCACGACCAAGTCATAGCTTTCAAGAGCGAATCCCTGAGCCTCGGGGCTCTGCTCAATGTCGAGGCGGTCAAAATCCAGAATGCCGGCCCAGGGGAGGAACTCAGAGCGGGCCGCCTCAAAGAAACCCGATGAGATGTCGGTAAAGTGCCAACTCTCACACTGCGGTCCTCCGTCCTCGTCGGTGCCCAGCATCTTGAGTGCGTGTCGCGTGGCGGCTCCGGTTCCGGCGCCGCTTTCGAGTATACGTGCGCGGGGATTTATATGCAGGACTGAACCCAGGAGGGACTTTAGCTGCTCGAAAGCCGGCTCCAGTCTGTAGGCGTTGGCGTAGTACTTGTAAAGCAGCCGTCCCTCCATCATTAGCTCGAGAGGCGCTCTCTCGCCGCGCAGCATAGAGACCAAGTGCGGCCCAAGCTGGCAAATCAGCTCACCATCGACAGTCTCTTTGGCAGCCCGAGAAATGTAGCGACCGCGCACCGAGAGAGCATCAGTGATCCATGTATCACTATCGGGGCTCCAGCGCCGTGCTGCCGCGAGGCTAACCGTGTCTTGCATCCACGCGTAGAACTTGACATGGTAGGGCAAAAGGTTGACCACATCCTTCTAAGTCAGGGTCGTAAGTGCATCGTGGCTAAAGTATACGCAGACGCGGCGCAAAACGGTCTGGATGTCGGCGCTCCGACTGTCAGCAAGTGAGTGCTTGCCGCGCAAGACATTGAGTCTCTTGTCCAGGGCATCCCATGAGCTTGGAAGTCCGAGAGAAGGTGCCACATCAGGAACCCATTCCACTCTGGCGCACAGCTCCTTGGAGCTACGGTCCTCGTCTTGAGATGCGGCGTTGAGACCAAGGGACTGGCAGAGAAGGCCCTCCATTTCCAGCACAGGCTGCGCCGCATCATCATCTTGGTCGAGAACGCTCACATTGGCCTCGTAAATCTGAGTGTCATGATGCGGCAGCCGGACGTTGCACTTGAAGCCGTGGCCGGGAGTGTTGCTGATGCGGCTTGACACCCAGAGCTTCCGGATAGAACGAGGCACTCTGGCGCTGTCATCACTGAAATGGCTTGCACTGGGAACGGCAGCGTATGAGGAAAGTATCACAGAGTCGAGCGTTGTTGGGTGTAGCACACTTGGGGAGGCAGCGGTATCCTTGGTTGTAGAAGTGTCGCGGATACCGATGCTGACGATGGAGCGCGGCTCTTTTGCCCTGCCATCCTGGAGAATGCTTGCTGTATTCTGGAACATGGGCCCGTGATTGAGACCCTTTGCTCGCAGACTCGTAAACATGTCATGAGGATCAATGTTTCGAGTGTACCCAGACTCATCGATGAAGGGCTCGGCTGTTTCCAGCTCGACTATGTTATGTGTTGTGAATTAACGAAAGAGCATTCCCCTATATACCCAGCCACTATTATAATGATAGACTATGTAGATAACTGCAGTACCCTAAGCTATAAAACCAGTTGTAGTTTATAGACCCTTGCTATTCCATAGTGCCTCGAACTTGGAGCCAGGAGTGGCGAGCAGCTTATCTGGCTTGCCAGTTTCCGCTACTTGTCCCCTTTCCATCACGACAACAACGTCGTAGTCACGCAGAATCTCCAGTCTGTGTACCACTTCCAAGACAGTCATGCCTTCCATGTCGGGACGGAGTGCTGCGCGCACCTCGTCGTCGGTTTGGCTGTCAATGCTACTGGTCGCCTCATCCAGGAGTACCACGCCACTGCTGCCTCTACTGGACTCGCGGCGTAGCGCGAAACGCGCCAAGCAGAATAGCTGCAACTGGCCAGCGGAGAAGCCTAGGTCCTCAAGTCTGGCGTCGAGGCCGCCTCGCGTCTCGAGAAATGGCCAGATGGCCACTTTGGTGAGCGCCTGAATGAGGACCTCGTCAGCCTCGACCTTCTCTTCCGGATCAAGGTTATGACGCACGGTGCCCGGGAGACTAAACGCGTCTTGCGGAAACGCTAGTATCCGAGAGCGGATATCCTGTCGCGGCACAGTAGCTAGGTCTACGCCGTCGATCCGTATGCTGCCGCTGCCGCGGAGCTCCAGCAGGCGGGATAAAGCAGCAATAAGAGACGATTTGCCGCTTCCGGAGCGGCCGCAGACACCAACCTTTGTCCCGGGCTCAATGCTTAGAGTCACCCCTCGGAGAATGTCCTCGCCCTCCTCGCTATAGGCGGCGACAACATTGTCAAGTTCAATCTGGCCCTGGGATGGCCAGTCTGCGGCTGGCATTTCAATCTCCTCAGGACTATTCTCGTTGGGCGTGTACCGGTTAAACCATTTCAACCGAGCAATCGCACCAAGAGACGTCTCTAGCTGCGTCCACACTACAATAACACTAGACAGTGTAAAGTTGAAGCTGATGACATTGATAAAAGCCAGTCCGATTGCACCGCCTGATGTGGTCTTAGGAAGTAAGACAGCCAATAAAACAAGAAGGACTGCCATGCTAGCAGAAAACATACCAAGCACTACCTGTAGCCAACGTTGGATACAGAACATGGTATAATATGGCTTTTGTGACTTGTTGAGTCGCTGGTAGTTTTCTTCTATCGTTGCGCGAGCCCAGCCAGATGCGCGAATAGTTAAAAGACCAGCCACTGTCTCAGCGAACTGTGTATAAAGGGGCGACTTGAACTCTATGTCGAGAAACCGGAGCTGGCGCGATGTGCGTAGGTAGTATCTCTGAACGAAATAAACAGTAACAAGGCCGAAAGGAATAATGACGCCAACGTATGAAGCTCCGGATGCAATAATAGCCGTCTCGGTAATAGCCTGTGCGAATAGAATAACGGTTCCAATAAAATTCATGGGCAAAACCTGATTAATCAGAGTCATGTCTTGGCTGAAGCGGTTTAAAGTAACACCATTGTCTATCGATGTGAAGAAGGATAGTGGCGCATTCATAACGCTCCTGAGAAGAAGGGAATGAAGTCGGTTCGCAGATTGAGGGATCCCAATAAGAAGAAAATGGGCAATGACAGCAACTCCAAAGATAGACATAAGGACTGCAAAAGCAATATAGCCACCCATATAGCTCAGTTTTTTTTTATTAGTCCCTTTCTCTGTCCAAAGACGCAGCCAGATGTCTGGCATCTTCTCCGTAACAGCATTGATGGTGACCAAAATAGCTGTTACAATGATAACAGACCAACCAAGAGATCTGAGATAAATCTTATAGCAGTCAATGTCACCAGTTTGGCGGCTAAGTTCTGTTTCAATTTCCCTTGTATTCTCCTCAGTGTTAATCTCTGCACGGCGAAGAGGCGTCGCAGACTTCTGATTGGAGGCGGTGGTGGTAGTGGCAGCAGTCTCAAAGGCGACATCGATCGTTTCCTCCAAGACGCCCCATTCAGACGGAGCAAAGGCATGGTACGGCACCTGGTTGCGCACAATACAACCACCCTCGAGCATGATGATGGAGTCGGCCGCCGACAAAAAGTTGACATTATTAGTGGCAAGAATAATCGTCTGTCCAGTATTGCGTAAGAGACCATCTCTGCCGAGAAGGCGTTTAAACACAGTCTTTGCCGTCTTATTATCGAGTCCGCTGAAGACGTCATCCAGAACGACGAATTGTTCCCGCATGTAAGCTGATCTGGCTAGGGCGACCCTCTGCTTTTGCCCACCGCTCAGAGAAATACCACCTGACCCAACGAGGGTTTGTGCGCCGTTGACAAATGACTCGATATCCTCGTCTAGACAGCAAGAGTGGAGGACAGTCTGGAACCACTGCGCGTCACACGCAGAATGGCCAATGATGTTTTCTTCAATGGTAGCGTTGAACACCCAAGGCGTTTGGTCGCAGTATGCGGCGTGAGGATATTCAGAATCTAGCGTTCCAGAGTCCAATGGCAGCTCGCCAACAATTGCTTTGAGAAACGACGACTTGCCACATCCAACCCGACCGACAACCATTGACAAGGTACCGCGGCAGATATCAGTGGAAATGTTACGAAGAACATCCTTCTTCTCACCGATACGGAAAGTCGCGTTGCTGAACCTGATTGCATGTACTGACGGCAGCCGGGTTTCGGAAACTGAGTCCATCTCAATGTCCTGGGACGCAGTTGTCTGTGGAGCTGTAGAATTCTGGGAGTTGGAAAGTGGAACGTTTTGTGATTGGTGCTTCAGATTTCGAGGATCCTTATGAGCTTCGGACAGAAGGTATTTTTGAAGACGAGTGAAGCAGCCAACAACACCAAAGAGCTGCATCATTGACACTAGAATGTGAAGGATGGGAGCGGCAGCAATGGTGATAATGGAGAGCGAGGTAAACGCTTCCGCCACGCTCAGGCCCTGGTTGGACCTGGTCCAAAAGATAGCCGAGAGGATAACAATGACAGGCGTCAAAGAACTAGATAGAGTTGCGAGACCGTGGAGGTACACCTGGATCCAGCGAAATTTGACTGATAGCCTGAGCTCATGAGCTCTCTTCTCCTGCAGTCGCTTGAGAAAAAAATTGGTTAGGCCCATCATCTTTACGCCCTTGATCTGGCTAAGCATATTTGATGTATCGCTGACTCGTTCTTGAACAGCACCATTCCATAAAACCTTGGCCGGTCCCAGGGTAGGGGCAATTATGCCACCGCATATAGTCGTTAAGAGAGCAGGAATAAGAATAAATAGACTCGGAATTCGAACCTGTCTATATAGCATAAACAGGGAGATCGGGAGTTCAATAAAGGCAGCCCAAATATCGTGGATCGTTGTTCCATTTGCTACAATACCCTCGACGTCCGTGCTCATGAGCGTGATAGAAGCCAGGTTGCGAATGCTAGAACCTTCTAACTCCAAGGTCTTTTTGAAAACGATAGACACTAGTCCGCCGCGGTACATTGTGAGGAGCTGGTAGGTGGCATGTCGGTACCAGGAATTAGTGATGGTGAGGCCAGTATAGAGAAGGACAGTGGCGCCGACCAGACTTGCTCCCTCATTTCTATTCTTTTCACCAGGCGTCGCCACGTAGGCAATGACAGAATTAATCAGGAACGGCTGAGAGAGCGTGAAGCCGCTATAGAGTAGCCTAGGCACGACACCTGCAGCGAACTGGCCCTTGTAGGCCATGAATGTGCATTTTAATAGTGCCCAATTGTTCAGCTTTTTATCTATTTGGGGTCAGTACCTCCGTAACTGAATGTAACAAAAATCGGAATCAGATACGTACCCTCACTCCAAATACTTTCGAGCTTCCTGCGGAGATCTTGCGAGTCAAACTTGGCGGCAATCGGTCCAAGGTGATTGACGTCCAAGACCGAGTTGTAACCGAAAGCCAGGAAACTGTTTAGCCACCAAAATACACCGCGACTAATGACACCAGCACGCGTCTCGCGCGACTGCGGCTCTAACGTGGCCAAGGCGGCCTTAGGGCACTCCTCGAGGGCCAGAAGACATAAGCGGGAGGCGAGCGCGGCTGTGAGGACGCCAGCTAAGGACGGCTGGTGCACGCGGATAAAGGCGGTTCTGATAGCGGCGATGTTCAAAATGCTGCTGACGATGAGATAGATGTTTAGGAGAACAGCCTGGCTAGGGGCTCGTGTGTGCTCAAAGTACGAGAGCGCAAAGATGGCAGTGGCTTCCACAAGGCCTAAGACAGCCGCAGCGATAGATGCCCTGGCCTTGACTGTAGATGGCAGAACCCATATAGCCAATGTTGCAAGCTGGAGAACGATGAGAATCCCCGCGGTGACCTTCCCCAGCGCCCCGGATTCAGATTAGCTAGAGTTTTACTTAAAAGGATTATTTTTTTCTTCTTACAAGCTTAGCACATAGAAGCTTGCATAAGCCAAAGGATATCCGCCTCCTGCGCAGCTGGGCTAGACGGCATAGTACTGCGAGGAGGAATAGGCCACAGGGCAAGATAGAAAACATGCTCTGTTCAAAGAGCAGAGTAAAGTCAAAGTAACCCGGTAACTGCGGCCCGAATGAATCGTCAGTGGTGGCCATGACAAACTGACAAAGCTGGCCCGTGGATTTTAAGGCCGTGATCATAAGAAGAGGACTTGGTCCTAGAGGCTTTTTCTGAGGTATAGAGATCTAGTGGATACAGCGCTCACGTACAGTCCCACGACGTGTACGGATTACTCCCGGCCAATTTAGCTAGGGGTAATCCAATCAAAAAAATCGCGAGACTAACTCTCTTTTTTTTCTAACTCTTTTAGGTAATCTGTAGGCTGACTTATACTTAAATACGAAAAAAGTAGGCCGCGAAGATTAGTCCTCGTCTCATGATTGCGCCCTAAGCTACGCTATAAGCTATAGCGTGCGCATTTATTCTAGTGCGCGTAGCCTTCTAACAGACCACGTACAGGCAATTTAGCCAACCGGTTTCCCTTGCTGTTGCTAGGTCTTAGCATTGGGTAGCAGCTGAGCGATGAGGGGTACTAATCTAGTCTTTTCAGCAACAGGGATTACTTGGCTGTCCTTGACCGTTTTACGCTAGGAATGCAAAACGGTCAACGGGTGGAAGACTGGCACTAATGGGAATAGTTGTTCGTACCTAACCGCTGGGGGATTATAGGGCTTTTGGGTCCAGCGGCACAACGGGCCCGCGCCTTCATAGCCCGTATCTGAGTTATCGACGGGCTGCAGCGTAAATTTATCATTCCAGCATTCGAAAAGCAAAATGAGTTAATTTATGACATCACAACATCTGACGTATTGAGCTCCGTTGGCATCACGGTAACTTCGCCTGTTGTCATCTGCTATGCATCCTGTAGCCGTCGCATGTTGCATTTTGTTTGTCTGCCCAGGATCTCTCCATCTTGTTGGCCGGGCTCCAGGATTGCGCCAAGTGTTGGGTAATCTCCACATGACACTCACCTTCCGTTTCTGAGTGTGGCTTCAGACCTCTACAATCCAACCCTTGAAATAATGTTGGCGCGAGACTTGGCCCCACTTCAGGTGCGCCGAGGTCACCGAACGTCTGCGTCCGTACCGTCTTAACAGCGGATTATTATTCTTCCGCAGCCGCTGGCCTCTGATTAGTTAGAAAATCGGCTAAAAAAAATGGCCGTTATAACCACCACGATTACCTCTTTAGGCTATAAAAAAAGGGGTATTATATTATTATATTATTTAAATTAGCTAGATTAATTTACTAATTAATAATAGCCTAGATTAGCTAGTTATAGAAAATAACTATATAATAGTAGAATCTCCTAATACTACTTTATAGAATATACTTTTTTTTATAATTATATAATTTTTCCTTCTTTTATAATTATTATTTAAAATTTACTTTATATAATAATATAGGTGTTACTATAGTAGAGGGCTTTAACCCTATAGCTAGTAACTCTAATACCTTTATAAGGTACCTCTTTTAGTTAAATTAGTTATAAGAGTACTTCTTCTAGTATAAGTAGTATATTATTAGATAGGAATAACTCTAACTTCTAGGACTCCTTAAGTATAGATAATAAGTACTTTATTATAATAAGTTTTAATAATAAAGATGCTTTAGAAGAGTAGTAAAATTAGTAATTATCTATTCCTTAATAGTATTTAATATCTAATTATAGCTAGGTATAAAAGAAAGTAGAACTTAAGGCTAAATTAGTACTTAGTATAAGTATTATAGCCTATAATAGGCTTTAAATTTAGATTCTTATTAAAATTATAAATTAGCTATAGAAAGATATTATAGTAGCTCTTAAGCTAATACCTTATTAAGTTTAATATACATTATCTACTAGAATTTAACCCTAATTCTAGTACTAAGGCTATAAGTTAATTATCTTTATAGAGTTTTAGAAATATATTAAAGACTTTATTAAATTACTATATAGAATATGCTATTTTTAGAACCTTAAGTAGTTTTACTAAAAGGTACCTAAACTCTTACTATATTTGCTATTAGTAGTAATAAATATACTTAAGACTACTAGTATATACTACTAAATTTAGCTTATAAAGTTAGAATTAACCCCTAAAGCCTATCTTACTTATCTTAAATTTATATATTATTAGAGGTTACTTTTAGTAAAGGATTAGGAATATTAGATTTTTATAGATAAAACCTAGGTTAATAGAATAAGTATAGGCTATTAGTTTATTATAGTCTTCCTAGGTATATTTTATTCTACTATAGTAATTAGTATAGTATTACTAAATATTAAAGGGGAGGATTATAATAAGTTTATTAAGCCTTAAATTTATACTTAAGGCTAGATATTCTAGGGAGTAATCTTTAGGGGTAAGAAGAGTATACTAGTAATTTAGGACTATAGGAATTAGGGTAAGATATTATTTAAGTTATATTATATATATATTTTGCCTATATTATATAACTTCTAGGATATTAATTATAGCTATATAATATAGTAAGATAATACTCCTTCTTATATTATACTTAATACTAGGAAATATATTATAATAATGTTTAAAGGCATATATTTTATTTTATAGCTAGTATATAGCCTTAACCTTAACCCTATTAAATATATCTAGTTAATTATAAAGAGGGATATTAAAAATAGGTATATAAAAAGGCTTATAAGTAAAAAATTATAGGTGGTAATTATTAAAGCCTAGGAGAGGATATTACTAAAGGAAATCCTTAATTTAATCTATAGTATGCCTTGTAGGTTAGAGGCTGTTATTATCGCTAAGGGGGGGTATATGTGGTACTAAAGTATATTAAGATACTTTCTTTTATATGTAATTTACTAGTTATTTTAAGTACTTGCCTGTAATAATCCTACTCTACTCTCCCCCTGCTTGGACATCGTCTATTGGCTGCATTAAGTGGGTCTAAGTACCACGCCAACATTATTTCAAGGGTTGGATTGTACTTCGTAAACCAACCTGCAGAGTGATGGTGGTGCGTACCAGCAAGCCACTTGTCAGTGAGTCTTGGCAGTGGTTTTTTGTGCTTTTATAGCGCAGCCTCACTTTGGCAGGGTCTAGACCATGGCACGCACGGCTGCAAAAGTTCCCCCGCCCAACACACTGATGCGTGGCGTTTGTGACACACAGCAGGTTACTGCTATTGGTGGCAATACTGCGCCTATTAGCGAGTCACAGCTGCAGGTTCTTGCTAATTCTCGAATCGAGTATGAGGAGTAGGACAATAATTTTGAGATCAAGCTTCTGCATGCTCAATTCGGAAGCTCAGGCTTCGGTTAGTTGTGACACGGCAAAGACATGCAGACCCGGTCCATCTGTAAAACGAGGCTTGAGAGCCAGTAGCCAGTAGCTAAGCCGCCGCCGCTGTCAGGTGTCGAGGCTGAATGCTGAATACCACAACCATGGCAATCGAAAACATGAAGCCTGCCGCAATGAATGGCAGCCCAACCCAGACACCACCCCAACCCATGCCGATTCGAAATGTGACTGCCAGGAGAGGGCCGGCGACGAGCGCACCAGTGTTCTCCAATAAACTCATCAAACTGTAGAGCATGCCGGTGTGGTTTGGGCTTACAGTAGCCGTGAGAAGACTTCGAATGGTCGCCCCATAACCCGAGCCCAGGGAATATACGGTCAGTGCGAGGATCATGTTGGCCGAGGTAGGTGCCAGGCCAAGACCAAACGTCCCAACTACCAGACAAAGTATGCTACCACGCGAGAGCCACATGTCTTTCACTATAGCGGGTAGAGCAGCGACATTTAGTAGCAATTGATTGACCATGGGAAAAACGGCGACAAAGAGAACTATGCTAATGGTGGCCTTGACAGAGAGCAACAGTGAAGCCTATATCACAAGACCAAAATTAGCATACACTTTAGTAGCTAGACAATATCTGTTTACCTCGGCCCATGTCCACTGAAACTTTTTGGTAACGTATTGCAAAAGCATCGCGCTCGCAGTCTTCCCCAATGTGGTAAAGACAAAACTGCCAAGGAGGAAGCACAGTCGAGCATTCGTCGCTAGAAGGCGAAACGCGTTTAAAAGTTCAAAAGTTGCCGCCTTGAAACGTTGGGTGAGCTTCTCTATTGAGCTACTATGCTCACAATCGGGGTCAGTATCTTCGTTCAGTGATGCTCTCTCCATAGTCTCGACAGTATCCAGGGTTTCGGGCACTGCAGTAGACGCAAAGGTGGCGAGGTATAGAATGCCAACACCGAGAAATGTCGCGAACCACACGTCGTAGTTCATGGCCACATAGGTTAAAGGGTTGCCAATGAGCTGGCCGGCAATAGCAGTCGCAGCGATGAGGAAGAAAGTATTTGATCTGAAATGGGCGTCAGTGTATGACGGTGATGAGTTATATCGAAGAAGGTTACCTTTGTTCACTTGTTGAGACGTCGCTGCATATGGTACAGATTACCGCGTTCATAACAAAGGGTCCTCCGCCAATGACTGTCAAAAAGGCTGAGGCCCAGATGAGCCGAATGGGAAAGACTGCGGGAAAGTAGGCTGGTGTGGTGCCATGGTCAGCGATCTAAATTTAAAACAGAATAGATACTACACACAAATGACGGTAACAGCGGACTGAAGCAGAGCAATGCCCAGTAGAGACAGAAAGAGAACCACTCGACGTCCATGCTTGTCCGAAGCGATTCCGTAAGGCACAGACAAAAGCAAACCGGGGATCAAGCCAAACGTAGACTCCCAGCCTTGAAGCATGGCAAAATCAGCCTGCACGACACTATCCTTGCAGCGTGGGTCGATGGCCGGCTCTGTAACATTTGCATGGTGCTGGCGACAGACGATTCCCTCCTGTATCTGGAGCAGAGGTATGGTGGCTAGACTACCTCCAAGCTCGACGGCCAGGAATATGGTCAAGCTGGTGATTAGGATGAAACTGCGTCGACCCAAAGTGTGCTTTTGCCATTGTTCGTCCTGCGCAAGATTGGGACCGCTGGCTGGTGTATTTCCTTCGGGCAGAAGCGCTGTACGCTCGTCCACGGGCGCGCCAATGGCAACACTCGGTTTGGGCATCGTGGGGACGGATTGATTTTTTTGAAAAGAATATATTTGGCTGCAATTGATGGACTAGCGTCCAGTGATTCCGATGCAACGGTTAAAAGAGAGGTAGGTACTATTGCCTAGCTGTGGTTGATAATCCTCACAACAGAACGAGCGAGGCGGGTTAGTTCACACGGCCGACAGTTCGGGTCTTTCTAAATGTCAACCAAAAGTGGGTCAACTTGTGGTGTCACTCAATACTGCATTCGCTAACTACACAACAGCTTCGATTATATATCATTGATAGTAGAAAATACAACAATAATGAAAAAAAACATCAGCGTAATCTCTGGTCAATTCTGCATCTGCTAGCGATCTTAGGCAGGCAAGAGCTATCGGTGACTAAATGCGCGGGCCTAAGCCGCTTACATGTCCAAATTACGTGTGAACTCGTTTACGTATATTAGGCCCCTTCGCGTCCACGCGCTACACAACCATAAGGTCCCACTACAAAGCCACGAATTAGTTGACGAGACTTGCGATTTGGTTGACACTTAAAAAGACCCGTGAGGGTACCAATTAATCGCCGCGATGCCGACGCAGTGTCGGAAGAAGCGAACCGCCGTCACGTGTGCCGCTTGCAGCAAGAGGAAGATTCGCTGTGCGCGAGACGGCCCGCCGTGCAGCACCTGCGTGCGACGGCGCGTCCCGGCGTCGCAATGCGTGTACGAGACTCCGGCGACTCATCGTTCTCTTCCGAGTATTGGCTTAGAACAGTCTCCAGCGGGCGGGTGCTCCCATACTGCTGGCGACGGCGCTCTAACGGCCAGGATCGGGGTGCTGGAGAAGCTCGTTCAATTCCAGCAATCGCCTGGGTCGATGCAGGTCGTACAGGGAACTAGCGCCGGCGGCAGCGAATCTGAGGCGGCTGGTTCAGCGCCAACAGGAACGCTGATTACATCGCGCTCAGGTCATACGCGATTCCTCCCCGCCGCTTCTGCTTGGAACGTCATCCGAAACGCGTCGCCAGACGTTCCAATCGCCGACCAGGGAAACACTGTCACGGACACGCCAAGCGCACCTTTTCCCTTTGCCCGTGGCACGTCCGACAGATTGTCAGACGTGCTGGCCATTCTACCTCCTCCAGAGTTCTGTAGCGAGCTCAAGGACATCTACTTTCGAGCTGTGGGACCGGTAAGTATATATGCCGGGTACTGCAACGGTCGAGCCTTATTGATTTTGGTTCTAGATATACCCCATCATCCACGGCCCAAGCTTCTCCAAGATATATGACCAACACATGGCGGATGCTGAAAACGCGCCGACAGAGTGGGTGGCTCTCCTCTTCGCAATACTCGGCACAGCTGTCTTGGCGGTCGACCAGGACAGCTCCCTTCTCCGCTCGTTGAGTCGCAAGGCGACCACTCTAGAGCGCGTCGCACAGCTGTCTGAGAGATACTACTCCACAGCCATGAGGTGCCTGGATATGGACCACTATCTGTGGAGGCACAACTTGACTACGCTCCAGACTCTGCTCTTGATGATATATGGTATCCACCATAGTCGCGGCCAAACTTGGACGCTCCTCGGTCTCACATACCATCTCGCGCTCTCCATCGGCTGTCACGTAGACCCCACGGTCTTTTCGCTCGATGAAGTGAACTGTGAGGAGCGTCGTCGGTGTTGGTTGGCATTGATGATGCTCCTTTGCAACCAAAATATGTCCATGACAGGCTTTGACCTGCACAAGATGACCGGCTCTTTTTCTATTCAGTCGCCGAGTGCGGTTGCATCGAGCGGTGAGTGTATTGAGGAAGCACCATCACTTCCCGCGGCTCCCGGGCTCAATTCGGTGGCATACTTCATCCGAAAATACCGTCTCTTCCAACTATCATCGAAAATCAGCAATTTAAGCGCAGGCAAGCAGCACGTGAATCCCATAGCGCTGCAGGAGCTTGATTTTGCCCTTCAAGCTGAGCAGAGCGCATTGCTGCAATTTAGTGACTCTGCTTCCGCCACATCAGCAGTCTTTATCAACCTGCTGCAGTGCTTTTCTCACCACTTGATGATACTGTTGCACTGCAGAGTCATTGGGGATCCGTCGCGCCCTTCACACTACGTGTGGTCGAAGCAGCGCTGCTGGCATAGCGCACGCCAGGTTCTGACCCTGCACGCCGAATTCACGACGTCGGCTGTCTTCAGGCCACATAGGTGGTACATTCGCGGGCGGGGAGCATTTTACGCCTTCCACGCCGCTTCCATGCTCGTCTTTTTAGCATCTGCCGAACGGGAGAGCTCACAGACTTCAGAGGTGCGGCCATTGCTAGATCAATGCCTAAAGTCGCTGGAGTTGTTCAAGACACAAAGCCAGATCTGTGCGAGATCTGCTAATATCCTTAGTCACTTGATGTTCGTCTCATATCTACGTCAGTCAGGAAATACGAATGTGGCTAACTGTTCCGTAGGACGAAATCGGGGTTTGTAGATCAGTCAACCCTAGGTAGTGCCGATACGGCCAGGCAGACCCCCAGTGACGAATCCGGATCGAGCCAACCTGCTCCGCATAGCCAAGATCCCGGGAAAAGAAATGAGCCGTGGCAGGTCGGTATGGAAAACCCGGATTTTGTCGACTTATTCGGGAATTTTGCGCCAGAGCAGTGGCTTGATTCAGATTATGTCGTCTGGCAGGAGGGAGACATGTTTCTACCACAACTTAGCTCTATGTCGTAATGCAACAAACATAGAGAATCTGTCTTGTTGGGAGGACGTCAGCTAACACGGATTAGGCATCTATATAACTACTTAAGAGGAGACAGCTACTACAGGAGAACTAGTCAAGCTCTCGAATGTTTGCGTGCGTGCGTATGTGTGTCTAACATAGCTAGAATAGCCATGTATTCTTCTCTTTAGGACGGGTCTTAGATAGACTCAAGTACCAAGTAGCAATCTCTTACTGATACTATGTGAACATGAATTATGACGTTGAGTGCGACAGATACCTGAGATATCTCACACTTCCGCGCTTGTATGACTGCGTCCCTATGTCACAGTCTTATGGATTCGCCGTATCATTTTCGCAGCCGTGACTATAGGGACTGTTCATCTAATTAGCTAACGTGAAGAACATTGTATCGCTCGAAAGAATACTATGGATAGCACAGCCCATGTTACTTATGCTGCCGATGTGATAGATAAAGAAGCCGGCCTTCAATGGATAACAGCTGCCACAGTACGAGCGACGATAACGCAAATTAGCTTGACAGCATTTTTTTTTTTTGGCTCTTTTTGAGGCTCTTGCTCTACCTTTCTAGACCACCCTCACCTACGGGGTTGCTATACTTATCTACCTTAGCTAAGCCAGAGTACATTGAAACGACACAGTACAGTGGTCAGTACAGCGGTCAGTACAGTACAGTCACCAGTACAGGCAGTAGCCACGGGTCAGTACAGTGGTTAGTACAGTGGTCAGCATAGTGGATTCCATCATGAGGAATTCAGGTACTAAGGTGGTGTGAGCCTCGTAGGAAACAGCCAAAATTTGCATTTGAGCGAATTTGCGTAATCGTCGCTGGCGAATGTATCTCAGCTGTCAGCTTGGCCGATGGCTTTAAGCGAAGAGTCGTAAGAATGAGGTTACACACCCAAGGCCTCGTAATGCGTGGCCATAGTACTTGCCCCTATTCTGTCCGCACAATGCGCAGCAAACTTCTTGCCGTGGTGAAGAAAGTCTTGCTCTATGCGACACAGGCGGGATACTTCTAACACGTGGCGCCGTTCCTACGGGCTTTCAGAGCGGATCTGCCGTATAACCCTGTCAACATGAGATATCGTTGAAGGGAGGATGTAATGAATCACATTGACTCTATTTAATGTGCTAGGGTAATGCAAAAGCAGTTCCGCAGCCTCAAAAGAGCAGCGTTGTGATCCTGTCTAGTCGCAAAGCTGTCCTGAAGAAGACTAGCGCACCCCCCCCCCCCGTAAGGTAGCTCGGTGAATTATTAAAGTGCCTTGAACTGCTCTGTGGCTTCCTTGATCGCGATTTCGACGGGCAGTCTTTCGATGGAACTAGCCCCGTAGAATCCATGCACCCCCGTTACTCGTTCGAGTATATAACGGGTATCTTCTGGAGTTGCAATCGGGCCTCCATGGCATAGAACGATAATCTCCGGCCGGCTGACAATTGCGGCATCGCGAATGGCTTGCACCTCCTCTACACACATATCCAGAGTCTTAGCAGTCTTGGCACCGATGCTTCCAGAAGTGGTCAGCCCCATGTGCGCAACCAAGACGTCGGCTCCTGCTTCGGTCATTGCAACGGCATCTGCCGCATTGAAGACATATGGAGTGGTAAGAAGCCCCATCTTTGATGCCTCTGAAATTAAAGCCACTTCCTTGTCGTATCCCATTCCCGTCTCTTCCAGGTTTTCTCTGAACGTACCGTCCACAAGTCCAACTGTTGGGAAGTTTTGAACACCGGCAAAACCAATCTTTTTCAACTGGCCCAGGAAGTGTGTCGTGTTCAAGAATGGATCAGTCCCGCACACGCCAGCTATGACCGGGGTGTGGTTAACAGCTGAGAGCACCTCCCCTGCCATTTCAACCACAGTGTCGTTGGCGTTGCTGTACGGCATAAGCCCTGCCAGACTACCACAGCCAGCCATACGAAAACGACCGCTGTTATAGATGACAATGAGGTCGCCTCCTCCTGCCTCAATACCTTTAGCAGAGAGGCCGATTCCTTTTCATCCACATTTTAGCGTACGCCTGAGGGGCAAGTTATACACCATTTGACTTACCTGCTCCAGCTCCTACAATGAGCTTTTTTGCTTTGATTTGGCCACGAAGGCGCTCAAGGATTTCAATCCGGCTGATGTTGTACTTTGCCATTGTTTTGGGTAGGTCGTTATGAAACCCACGTTACTGAAAAGTTTGCCGGGAAGGGGTATGGATGATACAGTACTGACTGCCTAAATTCTTGGAGCAGGCCTTGTAGTCTGGATTCAAGCCGGTTTAAGTAGAAATAGAAAATTAGCTCCCAAACATTCCATGTTCATCATAAACCCGATCACAGGGCAGGTGTCGGCGGTCGCGGAAAGGACGGAAAACGGGACCGTGAACAGAGACAGCGGAGATCGCGGAGATCGCGGAGATGACGGGGCAGGGGAAAATAAACGGAGATCGCGGAGATCGCTCTCCCCTATAGTTGGCCGAACAGCAAATACAAAAAGGCTGTGTGCCTTCATACTTCAGAATTACAGTTTATATCTTCTTTAATTTACTGTCTAAGAAAACATGACTCATATTGTTATCATCGGAACACTCGATACAAAGAACGCAGAGTTCATGTACCTGCGCGACTGCATCCTTCGTATGTTTACGAAGTTGCAAGTCCAAGTACAAATTACACTGGCAGACTGTGGAACAAACCACGTCGTCAATGACGCAGTCAGTATATCTCGCGCCCAGTTGCTAGAATTTTATACTACAACTGGCAATCAAGTGCCGCCCCGATCCCGGCCTGGTGCGATTGACGACACGATTTCTTGCCTATCCAACTACATACGCGCACTCGACCGTAAACAAAAAATTCACGGAATTATAGGAGCTGGTGGTACAGGGGGTACCAGTCTTATATCTGCAGCAATGAGGAGTGCGGCACCTATCGGTCTCCCCAAGCTCATTGTGAGCACGGTCGCGTCGGGCTATACGGCGCCAATCGTTGGAGAAACAGACATGTCACTGATGTATTCTGTTGTGGATATATTTGGTACAAATCAGCTACTGCTTGACATTCTTGCGAATGCGGCGGGCGGGATTATAGGCATGGCATTAGCTTACGAACAACGCCTTGCACAAGAGTCACCACAATCATTGACAGCGGAATGCGAAAAGGCGGAGCGGGGAAGAACACGGATTGGCATTACAATGTTTGGGGTTACAACACCCTGCATTGAGTATGTTCGACGCTATCTGGAGACTCACTATGACGTGGAACTCTATGTTTTTCACGCAACTGGCCATGGCGGCATGGCAATGGAGCGACTCGTCGAGCAAGGGCGTCTTGACGCTATACTTGATCTTACGACTACGGAGATATGCGACCTCATCGCTGGGGGCAACATGCGGGCTTCACCAGAGCGTCTAGAAGCAGCTCTGAGACGGGGCATACCGAATATCATATCACTAGGCGCTGCAGACATGGTCAACTTTGGTCCGGTCGACAGTATTCCACCGCAGTATATTCAGAGGAAGTTTCATAAGCATAACCCAATTGTTACCCTTATGCGAACCTCTGAAGCCGAATGCGCAGCCATGGCTAGCTTCATTGTGGACAAAGTCTTGCAGTTCGCCAAAGAGCCGTCACTGGTGGAAGTGTGGCTGCCCAAGGGAGGCTTTAGTAGCCTTTCAACACCATCCAGGCCATTTGCGGACCCGCGAGCTGATGCGACTTTATTCAAGACTCTGAAGTTAGGGTTTGAAGGAAGTCATATTCGAGTGGTAGAGACTAACCAAGAGATTAATAGCGAGGCTTTTGCAGTCGCTGTGGCCGAGAGGCTAATGAATCTTGTCTATAAAGCATCACAGTAGACACGTTAGAGTATATATTACTACAATTCGATACATCTTTTTTTTGGCCTTCATAATAGCTTCGTGTAACGGGGTACGCTTTATCCTTGGATCTGTTCGCGGAATAGGGTCAGTGTGTTACTAGATGAAAAGAAGTATTATGAAACGTCGATCAAATGCATCATCTCATACATTTTCATATCAAGTTCAGCTTGCGACTCACATTGCTCTTGGGCAGTTGATGGCTATGTGCACTGCTTGCTGCTCTGCTAGAGTTCTATAGTCATTCGTAATCGCGACAGCTATGCATGACTTCGTAATCTAGCATCTTGGCGCTACGATTTGTAGACCATTTCAGAGGTATGGTCGTCGTATCACCCCTGTGGATACTGTTCTCTCAAAAGCTCTCAATGCAACGGTCTCGCCAGAAATTAGCGCTAGCTCAAGACCGTTTTCCCAATGAACGACAACCGTACCAACGTGAGGCTCTGTTGTATACTCGTGGTCATTTCTGGATAATGCTCGAGATTTACGTATTTCTGATTCAGGGTCTGTATATTATTTACTCAGCGGGCGACTAGTTTTCTGCAGAAAGACGCCCGCCCAGACAGTGGAAGTTATGGTGCAGAGGAACACTAATTTTGTTAGCGCTTTTACAGTGATTGAACGGGCAATCACTTGCAATCCCGTGAGTTTCCCAGTCTCTGGATCTGGGTCTGGACTTTTGCTGAAAAATCCCAGCACTTCAATGTCTGTTACATCATCAATCTAGTAGATGTCGCAAATTCGATGCGCCACTATGCCTACTTCCTGTGAGCCGATTCCATACAGCGTCCAGTTCTGCGCTCGGTTCGCACAAGTAATGTATTCCCTAGGAGTGTTAGGCAAAAGTTTATGTTCTACCTAGGGGCCGCCTTGAATAGCGTCTGCGTTGAACCTGGTGAGGCGGCGTGCCCTACTTAATGTTAGAATTTGCATCGGACGAGTTCTTCAGTCTTCAGAATTAAAAATTAAAAACTTAATCCTCTTACTTTAGAGGAACAGGTCGGCTCCCTAGTAAGGGTGGTTTTAATCAGTAGGGTAGGTACATCGCTCTATATATCGAGCCTAGGTAGACCTGCTGAGTAAGTGAGTTATTTAGGCGACTAGTGAAATAGACACTGAGTCTGATTACATGCCATTATATACTAGCTATCTAGGAAGTAGAGGAGAGCTAGTGGCCCTTCCTCTGATCGTATCTCTGTTGTGTCTAACTATGATGGTAATTCGGGAATCGCAAGCTTATAGAGAGGAAAGAAATAGCCCTGTACTCTTAATAAAGTAAGTATTTTTTAAACCAGCATTAAATAAGCAATATAAAACTATTTTTATAGTTATTCACGTTCGTAAAACTGTAGCTATAAACTAGTATCGAGTTCAGCATTTCCGAGGGTCTGGCACTTTACTATAACATTACTCTTCCCGCTGTTATATATAGGACTTATTTAATCTCGGCATGTGTTCTGTATTCACAGTAGAGTACAGGGAAAACCTTTCATAAAGGACAAAAACCTGTACCAGAACATCAACACCCCCTCCCCCGCGGGCGGTGCTTCTGGCCCGCTATAATTCCTCTCCATCCTATGTAAAGATGCATCGAGCAGAGCGGAAGTCGGTCCTTCCAGGAATGACAGTCGTAGAAGAGGTAATTCTGAGGTAACCGCCTGCGCCGCACACATCATAGCTGTTTCGGTGTAAGCTGCTTTTCAGACCAATTCGACATCTGTAAACTGAGAACTCACTAGAACAAGTCGCAGCGAACTCCTTTTGTAATCTCAATTGATTTAACGTTATCGAATCTATATTCTCGTCAATTATATATTCTGTGGTACCTGAAAACAACTTACAGCTCATCGTTAATCGTTATACAGTTGCCGCCAGGGGGGTAAATTGGTTGACTCGCGCCGTTGAAATTAGTCTTGCTATATAGCTGAGCCTAAGCGCGTCGCCGAGTCAGATTCATTCGGTTCGAGCTTCAAGTTATTGGTGTAATAAAAGAACATACCATCAGTACAGCCGGTGCTGCAGTTGCTGCATTCACAATGCCAAAAAGGCCAAGACAGGGAATGATCTGAGCAATATGCATGTTGTAAGGGTATCAAGGGTAAGAATTACAGTGTGTATTTGTCGTAGGCTTTTCTGTTAAAGAGATAAGTAGATGGCCTTGAGAAATGTGTTTTGATGAGGATCTAGCAAGGATTTTATACCTGAATCCGACAACAGACCTTCCACTTCAAAAACTTCAAGTTCGACACTAGGTGTGTGTTTAATGCCGCTCCGGGTTCGGGCTTAGGCTGCGGCCTAAGTGGGATTTCATTGTATAGCTTGATTCCTTGTTAGACTGTCTCAGACTGTCTTTGAAATACAGCTATATATGCCGTGATTCATGGCATTGAGTTAGACTATCGCTATAAAGGGGATACGAACTATGTCTGCTAGCCACTACCCTCTTGGCGTTGGGAAACAACAGTGGTAACGGTACTGCCTAAGGTATATAACTACACTTAGAAGTAGATCCCGTTATAAGTCTTGAGCTCTACCCATTAGCTACCAAATAGGGTTATTCTTTATATCGTAATTTCTTTTCCTCTTAATCATACCATGTTCTATAATGAAGTACTATTTGACGTGATATTCGCTTTTCTGTCTTTAATTATAACGAACTCTGTGACCGAGTGCGGTTCATCACTAATAGCCAGCTGCATATCTTTAGGTATATAGGAGCACTGCAGCGTAGCACTCGGACAGATGTGGTGTTGCGAAGGTTCGGATTTAAGACACACTTTTGTGCTACAAAGAGCTCAGGTCAGCTGGCCACAGTCGTGAGATCATCCAATAATACGCAGATCTGAGACACAGCGCCTGCTGTGTCTAACGGACAACCCGTCTGACGGGCCGTCCCGTAGTCAGACCGACAGACCGTCTGTCTTTCATTAGACCGACAGACCGCAATACTAGGCGGCCACGCCTACAGCATGCCGCTACTAGCCGACTCAGCCAAGAATACCCCTCCTCATCGTGAGCCACATCTAGATTTCTTCTTCTCTTTACATCATTATATATATATCTAGGTTCTTTACTTTGCCGATAGCTCGTGACTTTGCTCGGCTCTTGGTGGCCTCGCCTCTCTTGCTCTGCCTTGATTTGCCACAGTCTAAGTCATCGGGTTCGGTCTAGCCTAGCTAAGGTAGCACGTTGTTATAGCATGCTTACTACTCCACTACTGAATCAATTCTAGTAATAATAAAGAGTACTCTACAGTTAGTATATTAACCCTTCCTAACCTATATTTACGTTACTATATTATAGCTTCCTTCTAATAAGACCTTAAGTCTAGTAAAGATATTATAAACTATTACTTGACATTTAATAATATTATATAAGTATTATAAGAAGTATTTATAGAAATTAATAAAAAGTTTTATAATAATTATACTAAAATAATCAAGTTATTAAATAACTTAGAATTATCTCTATTATTTTTTAAGAATCAATATAAAAAAGAATTTGTTAATTAAATATCGTTTAAGAAAAGATTTTATATTAATATATATAAGCTTAAAACCCAGTATAATAATATAAAGAAAATTCCTTAACTAAGTTTAATATATTTTTATATATTATTTACTTTTACTTATAATTAAGATGATTTTATATAATTTTATAATATATAGTTTAAAGTTAAACTATTTTATAAAGATAATTATCTAAAAATGAATATAAATATATCTCTTATTATATCTTTTATTATGTTATAATATAGTTCTACCTAGTAAGTCCTAGGCAATTGGTCCGATAGATAAGAGAATGTTGACAGCATGTGTCGAGAGCTCAGTGATGATTGTATTATAAATGAGACCAGTTGACGACTTTGCCGTATCCTTGTAATGATAGATGGTGAGGGATGGCTCCGCATGGTCATACGGCGTATCAACCGGATCGAATCTCAGAATGTATTGCCCACCATTGGCTAGGGGTGCAATCTTCTTTCCCGTCTGAGTGCCGTCCGTGTCATAGACGTAGTAGAAGTGAGCCTGGTACTCGCAGAGGAAGAACCGAATCTTTTCTCCAATCCAGATCTCGATGTTATGGGCGCCGAAGTTCTGGTCAGAGTACCAGGGCAAGGTGTCGTCTTGAGTGTCGGAGATGGGAATCACGTACTGTCCGTCGACACCCCAGTCGACGGTCTGGGGATTGACCTCGAATTTGCGGCCCGATTCCTTGTTGTGGTACGAGATTTTCTTGGAGGTATTGTTCATGAGTGACATGATTCCGGAAGGCATCTTGACGGAGTATGCAATGGTTATGTGATATGTTATGTGTATAGATCAAGTGTATAGATGGGGCGATATATGATATGAAGGACTAGATGCGATGTGATTTTGTTGAAGGAGATTTCGCATGTATCGTAGAGAGAGTCTTTATAAGTCAATTCTAGGCGTGGTTGTCAGTTCGCGTTATTTACGAAAGGACTCGGCTGCAGTCGAAGCTGAAGCCAGCTGGTGTAATGAATTCAATCCGTGCATCAATATTCTCTCAGCCTCGTCATATTCTGAAACATTGGACTCGGCAACGACTCGAATGCTTCTTGTAAGTGCTCACGATATTATAGTTATGCACGCGACTTGTTGCATATACATCGATATTCCACAATAAAAGCTCGCACTCATTGGCCGCATCCGCTTGACTCGAGGAACTCGCTGCTTATGGCATACATGACGCTGCATGAGTAGATGCGTAAAGGGGGTTCAGCTTCACCAGCTCACGCAGGGTACGACAGCCGAAGGAAGACGAGTCGCGTCACGGAATTATCATGAAGCCGAACTACCGAAACAATTGCAACTACCGACATAATTTGAGAATCCTTTGGTGAGAGAACGGAGGTAGGATTCTCGATATCTGCATGTCAATAGGTAGTACATATGCGACGACTCTAACAGGTCCGCTGTATTGTAATATATCTAGACCCGAAGCCACAGTGTCAAATTCTCAAGTAACAAGCAGTTCAGACTTCTTTCCCATTAAGCCTATCTTAGCTTTTTTTTTCTCTTCCGCTTCTAAGCGCATCGATCAATCACTCCTCCTCATCATGCCCGTCGGAATCGCCCAGGTGCTCAATGGTACCACGAGCGACATCACTTACCACAATTTGGAGTCCAATCGCCAGTTCGGGGTTCAGGGCAGGACACGCTCGCAGTTTGACAATGATAAGCTACCTAGCTCAGAGACGACCGACGACACCCTCCCCTGGTACGATTCTGGCCGCGACGACAAGTACATCGCCATTGGTGCCCTCGGCCACAATCTGCGGCTCTGCGAGCGTGATGCCCGGTTTCACATCTACGACAATAATGGCCATTCCCTGTCATTTGGCCACTTGACCAATGGATACAGATATGTGTGCAGGTTTGATCCTATCAAGCGACCGAATGGGCAAGACGGCCTCTCCATCAGCGTCTACGTGTACGTCGATGCCATGCATAGCTCTAATGGGGAGGTTAGCGCAACCATGCTGCAGGATCACGAGCCTAATGCTGCTATGATTCTGATTACCTGGACTTAGTCATATACAGCTATGTGTT